TTATATTTTTAATTATATTTTAATTTTATATGGTGTCAATTAACTAAGAGAGATCAACTTGCTAAGACATTAGCACTTCCATTCTTTCTTTCCTCCCTCATGTCTAATTTTTCTTAGGATTATTACTGTTTTATATTATCAAGTTTTATAATTCATATCCACTCTATTACTACTGTAATTCTCAAAGATTTTTACACTTGTATGGATTTTCTTAACACTGGACTTTTTACCACAGAGTCTATGTTTTGGGTTTTCTATTTGATTCAGTCCTTAATTATCTTAATATCCCTTTTCAAGTAGTTTGGTTTTGATGGATGTTCTACCTCCCAAGATCCTTCATGTTTGAACTGTATGCTGGTAGCCTTTATATTTGCAGAACATCTTAGCTCTGCATAATATTCTTGGGTCAACCTTTCTTTCTCTCAGGACTACTGATTGTTTTGATTGACTTTGTGTTGCCCTTGAATGGTGCTATGGTGCTATGAAGGCAGCCTGATTTCCTCCCTTGTTGCTAATTTGCATTTTCCATCTGTATTATTTCTTTATCCCTAAGTTCAAATGGCTTAATTAATGAAGTTCCTAGGCAATGAGCATTCTGCATCAAGTTACCCTGAAGCACAGATTACTCTTTCAATGTATAAATTCAGTTTTTTCTCAACTTGGTAAAATTTCCTTATATTATGTCGTGAATATATCTTCTGTTTCATTTTGGGAGTTCTCTATTTTAAGGATACAAACTATTCTTACAGTATATCATTCTCCTCTTCCATAACTGTTAGCCTCTGCCTGAATAGCTTCATTTGTCCATCTTTTTCATTAGTATGTTCTTTATATCAAACTTTTTTCCTTGTATTAATTATATTTTTAGCAGTAACTATTCTGTTTCTTCTGTTTATATTTTTTTAGTGCCATGATGATGTAATTTAGTCCTCATTTTTTTTCCTTTATGTCTGTGATCACCTTAGAGATTGTAAGAGAATTCTTTGTGTTCCCTAATTTTGTTTTCCTGTATGAATTATTTTGTAATATTCTCTCTCTCCCACCCCTTCTCTTCTTTTCTCACTGCTTCTTTTTTATTCATGTTCATACTTGCATAATCTTCTCCAAGTGTTCTATTTGCTCTGACACAGTGTAGATAATATCTTTACTCTTCCCAGTCTGAGATTAGTTTGATATGTCCTCTGAATGTCAGTTTTAGACCAATGTTTTTTATCTTTAGAACCCTGAGAATAATTGGAGCAGGGGAGGGAGTTTAGCTGAAGATATGACAATCTCTGTTAGAATACTTGAGCTGTGTTCTCTCTTTAAGATTATGTTAAATTTCTCATTCCAGAATCTACCCCACCTGGTTGGAAATATAAATCACTTCTATGGTGGAATAACTCTAAGGCTTTGTATCCTTTCCCCACTGTCCCAGAATCTCTATCCTTTTACAGATGCAGACCTTTTTCACCCATTTGTCCACAGCAGCTGTATCCACTATTCTGGTCAGGACAAGAAAATGATCTGCATTTTAATTTGGTCTGTTTCTTTCCAGATTTTGAAATACAAATGATAAGTCTCAGGATTGTGTTGAGTTAACAGTAGAGCTTCTGAAGACCTTGTGGTTAGGGTTAGGAACGGAGCCATGCTGTCCTTCTGCTCCCCACCATAATCATTTTTTCTTGGAACCAGATTTTGAAGTTTATTTAATTATGTTATGCACCTGAGGTTTCTGACAGTGACTTGAAGAGGAGGGCTGGTATTTCATTTTTCTAATAATTGTAGCTCTTATGGGAGGATAATTTAGCACAAACCTTAATAAAGTTTAATAGCGCTCCCTATCCAAAGCCCATATTGTCTCCTTGACCATCAGTGATGCAAGACCAAGACATTTCATTCTGTCACTGGTCAAACTCTGAGTTCATGATAGGTCTTAAAAACAGCCCATTGTGACATTTTAAAAATGCCTTTGAAGTACCCCCAAACATACCTTATTGTCTAGGCAGAAAGTTACTGCTTTAACTCTTTACATCTGTAACTAAAACTTCACTGTTTCTGCGTCTGTGCTCCCCAAAAATCAATGTTATAATTAGAAAACAGTAGCTAATCTGGCCAAATGCTAATAAGTGAGAGTTGTGATTTATCTAACAACAGGGGAACAGCTCAGCATTAACAATTAAAAGGTCTGTAGAGGAGATATCCTTTTTTATCTTAACTCTTCCCCTTAGCTGAGTTGGTTCAACCTTAAGCTATAAATAGCCCTTCTAATTAATGGCTATCTGTTTGAAAATCAGTCACTGACCAATAGTTTAGAAACTTTTACCTCTGAGGATCATAAGCCCTATTCTATTTCTCAATGATAAGGATAAGGAAATAATAATGTGAGTTAAAGCTGAATCTACCTACCCACAAAACTCAAACCACATCATAGCCTGCAAAGACATTCTTCAGGCTTCATTATAAATGAATAATTTTAAATAATCAACTTAACTGCAGCAAAAAGTATTGATCAGGAATAGAGCCAAAATGGTTGGCTAACCTCACTGGCCCTATCATCTCGTGTTACAGAATGAAGTCAAAGGTTTACATCAAAGGCTTAAGTTTGCAATTAGTTGAACCAAGTTCTTCAGAAATCTTCAAAGAATTACCATTTTTCTACATTAAACGAATTAACAAGATAATTACCTTCACTGTAACCTGACTGGACAGAGTTAAAGGGGAAAAGTAGTCTACCTAAATCAAATGTAATAGTGATCTAGAGAACGTTCCCCAGAAGGACCGTCTTTGGGAAATGCCCCTCAGCGCCAGAGTAACTTTCATATTTTAGTGGAGGGTTTGTCATTTAAAGTAGAAAGTACTTGCACATCTTAATTGTTTTCTTCTAGTATTTTCTGTTTCATCCAATATTGCCTTCTTACACAATACCCAGGCAGCTCCTCCTAGCAGGTCCCTAAACCTGCCAAGTTGTTTGATGACACCAAGTGTTTATTCAAACTGTTTCCACTACTTAAGTGGCCTTTCAGCCCATCACCACGACCATCACCACCTTCCTGTCTGATAAAATGGGTTCCTCATTCCTTTGGGCCCCTCCCACCTGTACATATTTTGGTCTTAATACCAGTAAACTTTACCTGGACTTGATTGGTTTCTTACCTTTCTCTCCTCAGGGAGAAAGTTTTACTTGTAGTCAATTGTAAACAATGCCCATATGCTTGTTGATTATACGAGTGATTATTCAACAACTATTGAGCATCTGCTTTTTGCCAATACTTGCTAGAAATCAGAAAGACAGATTTTTATCTCTGTTCTCAATTAACTCATAACCTGCTGGAAAAGATAGACTCCTGTATAGCTAAATGCAGCACGCCTGAGAGAGGGGTCTGCGCAAGCACTGATGCTGAGCTATGAGTGGTAAAGAAGTGAACACATTAAAACTCACCATATTTTAATATATCTCTTATGGTTTTCATAGTCCAAACATACCTGTTTTAACTGCATGTTTCACATTGCTTACTGATGTCTTCTCAGCATAGGCTAAACCTGTGCTTCTCGAACTAATGTGCAGACACATACCTGGGCATTTTGTTAAAATGCAGACTCTGAGCAGGTCTGGGGAGGGGCCTGAGATTCTGCATTTTTAACAAGCTCCCTGGGGATTCCACTACTGCAGGCACAGATCACACTTTGAGGAGGAAGACTGCAAACTACAGTCATGTCAACATATAAACATTGTTGAAGTAGCACCAGTTTTTTGAAAAACTCCCACAGCTACTCACACAGACATTCTTCTGACTGTATTTAAACATGATAAAAAATGTAAAAGCCATATTTCATTCATATGTGGGATATAAAATTGAAAGTCATGGACACAGACAACAATGTGGTGATTTCCAGAGGGAAAAGAGTCGGGGTTCAGGGGTGGAGGGGATCCTAATATTTGGTGATGGAGGATGGTTTGACTTTGGGTGGTGGGCACACAGTACAATATGCAGATCCAGTATCATAGAAATGTACACTTGAAACCTATATGATCTTATTAACCAATGTCACCCCAGTAAATTAATTTTAAAAAGTTACACCAAGAGAGGTAAGATTCAGCAATGCCCCTCCCCCAAAAATGACTGACAGACTGCCTTGAAACTGTTACTTCCCAAACTTTATTTTATTTTCTAAGTACAAAGTGTTTTTGTTCCTGCACTTAAGGTCTGCTGCAACCAGATGGCTATGGTCTGAATATGCAGATAGGTTTTCCTAAATATCCAAGGTTGCCATTATTTAACTCTCCTCCATATTTAAACTATAAAATACGCCAGACCCTTTATGTAAATGGAAATATCTTTTAACAAAACTATAAAACCTTAATCACCTTAAAATAATCATAAATTAAAATACTTCTTTAATGCAACAATTTAAAACAGATTCTATAAAGTACCAATGGGAACCTTACTAACTTTCAATGGTTCCTATGTCAGCATCTGTTTACTTTTCCGTTCATTTGTGTCTGCCATTCATCATCGAAGTCAAAACTCCTTAGAACTTGAGACTTTTGGCCCTCTCTCTACCTATATGTCTTTCATCATTTGTCAGTTTTGAATTTCCTTCCACCAACAGAGGATCTCTATTTGATCCCTACTTGAGCTCTCTTATTTTGTAGGCCTTCTTCCTCTCCTTCTCATATTATTCTCCAGCACTATTTCAACCAGACCAAGAACTTTATGTGTGTCTTCTCCTAAGCACTGGAGAAGACATTACAAGTCTTCCTATCTGCTATTCAACACCACCTTATTACAATGATATGCTGTTGAAGAGGAAGTCTGGTTATTGGGTTTCCTCTTGCACACTTAGTTATTACATCACTTTCTCTGATAATATAGCAGTGAATTAAACAGTAGCGAACTATTTCCATCATGTAGGACCTATGGAAGGCACTGGGAGTCTTATCTTGCCCAATATCAAAGGCTGGAGAAAACTTTTCTAAATGATCTTCCTTCCCTCTTACCACTTGTGGCCTTTTTTAGGTTAATTCCAAAGATGATGAAGGAGTCATTGTTGGATCCTGGGATAATATCTATGCCTATGGTGTCCCCCCATCAGCCTGGACTGGAAGCATTGATATTCTGTTGGAGTATCAGAGTTCAAAGAATCCAGTTCGTTATGGTCAGTGCTGGGTTTTTGCTGGTGTCTTTAACACATGTAAGTATCCAACTGAGTAATATTTTTTAATGTAAAAGAAATTTCACTTCATGACATTTTATCTATAACCTGGCATAGAGCCCTAGCAATCCCTGTTGGCTCTACAGAATTTATGGGTGGCTATTCTGGGATGTAGTCGATGCATAATTAAATTGTCTTCAACCAAATATGCTCATAGTTTCTCTTTGACTGCAGAATCTTTATAGAAAGAATGACAGACTATTTCCTACATAATTCATCATTCTACACCCAGAGAAATGGAGGGTCCCAGGGCCCAAGTAAGGATGTAAGGGAAAGGATGTGGCATTTCTTTTCAGTAACCCCCACATTTTAAAAAGGTTAAAAGTAGCCAAATTTAAAATAATAAATACCAGTAAGAAAAGATGGATGCTGCTTATTTGTTATTGAGGAGTTTTATAAATATGCTTACTTGTTTGTTGTTTATCACTGAAAGCTTTTATAAATATATTTACTGAATTTTTATCCTAGCTATGGAAGGATTGTGGCAGGTGGTCTCATCTCCATTTTTTTTTTTCATCTCCACTTTTACATGCAAGTCTCAATGACCCTGAGCAATTGGATATCAGAATTTAATGAAAAATCTTTACTCCCCACTTTCCCTTCTGGCATTTAATCCACCCAACATCCAACCCATAGAAGAGAGCACATGAGAACAAAATTATTCTCTTCAGCCTCATGCATCATTTTTTTGAAATGGCATTTGCCTATCTAAGCCCAACGTTATTGTTAATTCAGTGACTACTTTTAAAAATACATATATTTCAGTGTGATCTCATCATTGGTAATGATTTTCATTCACATGCCATTTCAACAGCCTTAGAGAAAACATTAAGCTTGAATGGGAGCGTCCTCTCTGCTTGCTCATTAATAAAGAATGTTTTACCTAGTTAGCATTTTTTTATTTAGAAATATCAAGGAGGGGTTGGAAGCTGGAAGCTGGGATGAGGCCATTCTTCCATAAATTATTATGAAGCCTATCAGTTTCAGCTCAATGTTGTGACAGTCTAAGAATTAGTGATCCAAGCAGGAGAAATAATGAGGTTTTTTTTAATCAGGTATTTTGTTTCACCATAGCTTCAAAATGAATAAGATTATTTTCTCAGCCATCTGAGTATACCCAAGAACTAAAGGAATATATACATATTTCCTGAGAGCAATCAAGGTCAGTTTATCAGTATCCTAGAAAGGCTGGTCTCTGAAGTTCCAGGAAGAAGCCCAGGCTTCAAGATAGTAGTTCCCCTCCCTCATGGTTCACAAGCCAAGACTATGTAGAAGATGGCAGCCACTCTTATGAAATGATTCCAGGAAAATAGAAAGGGCCCTCTGCCTCTCCATGTCCTTCTGCTGCCTACAATTTCATTATGCCTGTGTAATTCCTTCAGGCTTATAACCAGATGAAACAGTGAGCACCCTCTATCTATTTATGCCTTTTGTATTAAAGGGTCATCAGATCTATTACAGGCTTTGATGGTAAGCTAGGAAAAGGCAGAACCACAAAGTGGAGAAATACAGTGAGAATGAACCCAAAGAGGAAAGTTGGGGGGAAGGAGGTCCTGGTGACCCATTGTCAAGTGCCACCTCAGCAGACTCCAGTTTGGACTTCCAAGGCTGTTCTGTTGAAGTAGGTGGATTGTCTTAGGTTAAAAATGCTAAACCAGCCCTGGCTGGTGTGGCTCAGTCGATTGAGTGCCAGCCTGCAAACCAAAGGGTCAAAGGTTCAATTCCCAGTCAGAGCACATGCCTGGGTTACAGACCAGGTCCCCAGTAAGGGGCGTGTGAGGCAACCACACATAGATGTTTCCCTGCCTCTCTTTCTCCCTCCCTTATCCTCTCTCTAAAAATAAATAAATAAAATCTTTTAAAAATGCTAAACTATTCTGAGAAAATAAAAGGCAAGCCAAATCATTAATCTTAAAATTGTCAGCAGAATTATTTTCAATGAGCCCTGATGTGTGGCATCCTGGGAGCCAGGGAGGGCATTTGGATTAAGTTTAATCAATACATACATATGGCAAAAGATGCATCCTAGTAATTTATTATCTAACAATTAAAATGAATCTCTGGTGTCACCCTCCACCGAGTGTCACAGAGCAAATGCCAGCAAGGAGAGGATCTGCTTTGCAAATTCCTAACTTTCCATTATCTGGTTTCTTATTTTATTTTATCTCCAGGCACATAATCTCCTTAGTTGGACTAAAATAACACCACTTTGATTGGTGTATGATTAGTGACTAAACAATTGGAACCCTGTTTCTGGGCTCCTTTTCCAGTTGGCTTTGTCTGGCCCAAATGCAGTTCTGAATGATCAGGCAGTGAGGTTTCTCTCTGAAGTCTGTATGCCGGACATTAGCCCCCGTCTCCAGTGTCGAATATTTGAGGACAACATGTGCCAATAGGGCTTTTCATGTTAGTGTCAAAATCAAAAACAGAGATCAGCCTTGAAGATACACCAAGCAGAAAAAATCAGTTTGGTCATACAAAGCTTAGCTTGTTTTGCAAGTCTAACTTGACCTGGGTCATTTCTTGCTTCTACCTCTGGAAACTGTCAGCAAAACTTGAACTGCTTCCTAAGGTCAATATAAGGTAACCACCAACCAATTCCTTATTTTTTAGGAAAATTCTAATATAACCAATTCATTGTGAAAAATAAACAGTCACTGTTTCCTCACTATATAAGCTGCCTTATAATAATATATCCTTGAGCCACCTTTCATTTTTATTTTGAGTGTTGCTGGTTTGTGAACTGTCTTTTTGGTGTCTACACAATAAATTCTCATTTATTACTACTTTGGTGATTCATTGGTTTTCCTTCTGTTATTTCAGAATTTTTGACATTGTTAAAGAAAACAGTCCCTATAAGAAGAGATTGTGCCCTGTGTATTTATTAAATTTTGGTGATGTGGTTAGTTGTGGCCTGTCCTTCTTTCCTGCAGTTTTGCGATGCCTTGGGATACCAGCAAGAGTTGTTACCAATTATTTCTCAGCCCATGATAATGATGCCAATTTGCAAATGGATATCTTCCTGGAAGAAGATGGGAATGTAAACTCCAAACTCACAAAGGATTCAGTGTGGTGAGTTTGATTTACAAGGACATTTGCTGATATCTAAGTAAAGTGACATTACACATTTACTACAAGACAGACTTGGTCTACTATTTCTTTCTCTTCTATATTAAGAACTGTTCAATACCATAGGCAGAAATGTCTAACTGTCAGAGATTGTTTTTACCTATTGAATGAGAAATGTTACTGAACAGGCAGTTTGGGCTCTTCGTAATAAAAATCAAGCATCCCATTATGACCACAATCAGTGATAAAGGCTATTGTTTTAGTGGCTAGAACCTACACTAGCTCTTTTCTACCTTGGTTTATGAAAATTGTGAATGGTAGAGATATGGAAGCTTGGCATTATCTATGTCAATACTCTGAGTCATGTAGCTATATTTATTAAGCACTTACTATGTACCAGTCTTTGTGTGTGCATGCTCTTATCTAATTCTGATCAGGTGAATGCTTATTAATATCTCCATTTATAGATAAGGAAACTGAGGCCAAGAGAGGTTAAAGTAATTTACTCAAGGTCACATATCTGGTAAGCTGAGAGTGAAAACCAACTGACCTTTAACCACAACCTTTTTTTTGTCTTTGCAGTATAGGATTGATCTTTGAGTGTAACAATGTGATTCCCTTTAGTGTATGACATCATCATTCATTCAGAGATAGAAATAAGAGTAGGGGTGACATTGTTGTCAAATGTCAATCACACTGTTCTTTCACTGCTCTGAATAGCTACACCACGAGCTGGCTACAGAGAGTTGAAGATTCCAAAGGAATTTCTTTCGTCCATGGCACCCACTCAGTCTAAAGCAATATTCAAAAAAAGAAGAAAAAAATCCTAAGAATCCAAATATAAAAAGCATTTATGAGGGTCTGTATGGGAGGAAATTGCCAGGCATTGAACTAGGTGGAATTTCTAAGCTCAGAATGTGTCCCCTTTGGTTGTTTTTTGTAAGTAATAAAGCTAAAACACTGTCAGTTGTAAAAGCATCCAGATAGGGATGGTAGGAAGTTATAAGCTCATTTTAAGAGAAATTAAGAGTTAGAAGTGCCTTAACTCCCCCATACTACAGGAATGGATCACAGTTGTAGGAGTAGTATTAACTCACTAGTACCAGTAAACGCTCTTTTGAGAATGTTGAAAGAAGGAAATCGCTGAACTAGTAGCAAAGTGCTACTATGAATAAAAAATAGTGCAGTTCATTTGCAGGGAATGAGCTGAGCAATGGTAAGCTAGAGAGTATAGGCAAGACAACACCTCACCCCTTAAGCTGAATGGCAATTTAAAGCACATTTAAGCCCTTGGAATTGCAGTATAGAAGCCCTGCATGTACATTAAATGACAAAAAACGGCCCAAATAGCTGACCCAAAAGCCTGTTGTGACAGTCAAAACTGGCAAAATGAGAATTATTTGGCTTTCTGCACTGTGTACTTCTTCCTTACACACACACACAAACACACACACACACACAGTCTTTGTAGTCAACTGCAATTCAAAATTATTCCTCCCTATTTCTTGATCCAAATGCCTCCTATCGTAAATTCCCATGAAGCACCCCAACAAATAACCCCACAAGGCCATAAACAAGATTGTGAAGCTGATAGATCTTGTTCTTGGTAACCCTTTCATCTTTCAGCTCCCTGCTCCAAATTCCTTTCCCTGTTCCTGTCATCCTTTGCTCCTTTGCCTTCCCCAAATATCCCATCACCTGAAACTATGTTCCCTGGTCTGGGACCATTACCCATACTCCACAATCAGACTACTGACTGAGGCTCCCTTCCTTTCCCCTCACTTGATGCAGGCATAGTGGGTTCCTAATATATTGTATGACTGACGTCTGACTAACTGAATGGCTGATGTTAAACTAACTCAGGGGACACCAGATCATGGACCACAGAGAACAAAGGGCTCACTCTGGTCTGGGTCCAAGGACTGGCTCTGCCATTGACCAGCTGTGTGACCTTGGGTAAGGCATAACCTCTCTGTGCCTCCCTTTTCTCCTTTGAAGTAGAGATGACAAAATTTTCTACTTTACTCAACACAAAGCCAAGCATAACAGGTGCCTCATGAATGTTAGCTGTTATTATTGCCTTCATTATTAGTCACACAGCTGGAATTTCTTAGAGGCCATATGTCATTATCAACCTAACCAGAAACAGAAGCAGTCAGAAAAAAAAAAAGATGGCCATTGTGCTAAGATGACTGTGCTATTTCTGTTACTTTGGGGTATTTTTAAAACAAAACCAGAAATGTATGCCTCCCCAGTGCAAAAACCCTACTAGACCCTAGAAGCTACAGATGTAGGAATACAGATGTTCAAAACAAAAGTATTCCTAAGCCCTTTCTTGACTGAGGAGGTTGGCAGGGGGCTGCTCTTGACACATTAACCAGTACAGGATCACTACCGTCACATCCTCCAGAGCAGCTCTGTCCTGGGGAGTTACTTGTCATGTGACCTTGAGAAAATGGCTTTACCTCTCTGAGCTTCAGTCTCCTTATCAGTAGAGGGAGGATAATCTTGATAACAACTATTTCCTGGTGGGGTAGCTGTGACAAATGAGGTGACCCAGGCAAAGCACTTACCACGGTAGTGGGCCCAGAAGGAGTGCTCCATCAGGACCTGCTAACGAAATTAGGGACAGGGACCACCTGAGCTGCTGGGAGGGCACAGGTGGTAGGGGGAAGAAGTCTAATAGAGGCAGAGGTGAATGCAGGGAAGATTTAGTGGGCATCCACTGACCCCTGAGAGTCCAGGGCAGTTTGGCTGGCAATGCATGGCCTAGAGAATTTTCTTGCAAGGGTCTCAGGAGCAATTGGCCTCACCCAAGCCCCAGACTCACCTTCCTCCATAGACTCCAGTCAAACAGACTTGCCCCAACTCCTTCTCAGTTTGTCAGTGGTTCCTGCCCTGCTTGCCCTCTTTCCTCTCTTTTCAAAGGAAACCATGAGAATGATTTCTTGGTTTTTCTCTCTCTTGTATATCCACCATCTCTTGGCTCAAGTCCTGACGGTACAAATTTTGTGGTGTATCTATTTATCTGGTTGGGTCTCAAAGCCCAGGGTGTCCTCTTCTCTGTGACAGCCAGGTCCAGCAAGCCCAAGGCAGAAATAAGCCAGTTCATGTGTTCAGAGGAGAGTACAAAGGTGAGTATGACAGTGCATCATGCTCAATATAATCCTGAGACAAAAGAAGTGAGGTTTGGACTTCCTCCCGGGTTCTGACCCTTCTCCCTTCATCAACACAAACCATCATGGACTGACTGCTTATTTACCTCCTTTCTGGTTTGCTTCCTTAGGTCCCTGCATGGTAGGTTTCCCTCTGAGAGTGCCCTGGCAGACAGGGGGCAGCAATTTTGCACAGAGTGGGCACAGTGTTGATGCCCACAGAGGGAAGAGTCAGCTTCTTAGCAATTTGGGAGAGAGAAGGACTGAAAAACCTTAGACGGACACAGCTAGGCAGAGTAGTTGGGCCTCCGGGTAGCAAATGAAATTCCAAGTGGGCTGATGCACAATAACATATCCTGGAAGGATCAATTTAAGCTGCCTGTCCCCAGTGTGCTGATGGCTTTTGAATTATGCGTAACCTCTGGGGGAAGACATCTATGAATCACTGTGGACACTCTAATGAAGACACTTGCACCACTTTAAGCTGCAGTTCACAGTGAATATGAAAATGAGGGCTCATTGAGGAGGGAGAGTACAGGCTCACTCTTATGGGCAGGGGCATAGTCTCTATTTGGCCTCACCTTGAAAAAGGTCAATTTAGTTACCTCATTACATGACGATCACAATGGAAATGGAAACAATTTTAAAAGAAAGGTAGATGGTGGCATTTGTTAGGGTTGTGAAAGATATTTCAATAAAAGGTTTCTCTCCTAAATAAAAGCATTATCTGGGTGCTTTTGCTGGAAACGATTTAGTCAGATTTTATCACTCTGGGTGAAAGAACTATGCCAATCTCTTGTTTTCCCTCATCAGAATGCAACCCCTACAATGGAGAGCAGTGTCTGATCTAACTTATTTTTGTTTATTTTGCCAGCATGTAACAGAGTGCAGAGCATAGAATAAGAACTTAACAAATGGAATTAGTTGAAAATTTGTAAATGCTCATTTAACTGAATGAATGTCATATAATTCATTCAACAGACACTATCATGCACTAATATGTGTGAATACCTAGATGCAAAAGATTCAGAGAGAAATTAATCAGGTCACTGACCATAAGGAGCTCCATTCACTGTTTGTGGGTGAGACAAGCACGTATAGAACACTCCACAGAACATATCAGATAGGCTGTAATGTGAGCCAGAAGTCATGGAGATGAGGGGAAGGGGCTTCCGTCGTAAGCCCAGGGGAGCAAGGAGAGAAGCTGTTCACGTACTGAGACAACCAAAGATCAATGTTTCATAGACCAGGCAGGAAGGAATGAGTTTCATAGAGTTATCCTGTATTATGACTACAGTTTTTGAATACTGAAATTCACTGTAACTCTCATGATCCACTCCCTTGCTGCTCCTTCCTGTGCAGCATCAAGAACACTTAGCCCTTTGCCTGCCTTCCTGAAAGGGCTAATGCCTCCGGGCCTGCATTCACAAGGAGCAGATGGAGTTAATGCTGTTCAGGGGTGAGGACAGGTATCTGTTACCCCTCTGTCACCCCTTCTGCTTGTCAATCCTCTAGGTGCTGTCTAATTTTAGGTTCTGACTCCTTTGAGATAAACCCTCTCTCCCCCTCTTTGTGGGTCCAATAGTCAATAGTTTCAGATTCCCTCTTGGAGCCAACAGCTTTCTAGATGCTGTGACTCTTTTGTGTCTAGCTCCTAAGCCCCTTCCTCATGCACATGTTCGAGAGAAAGTTGTTCATCTCTGGACAGTGGAGTTCCAAGTGCAGTGTGGGGAAATGTGAGCCCTCAGGACAGGAAGAGAAGGGGGCTGAGCACGTGTTTACACTAAGGCCCGTAAGCTGACCCATTTGCTTCTCAAAGTCCAGCTGATTGGCCAATTGGCAGATGTA